TTTTTCTCGCAAACTTCAGTCGACTTTTTTTATACTTTTTTCTTCATCTTCAATGAATTCCAGGCCTAAAATATGCCTACCAATTTTGGTTTTTATTTTTTCTTAAACCATCAACACAAAATGTAACAATAAATTTTTTGTTACCTTCCATTTCGCTGGTAACAAAATTTACAGGGTGACAGTGAACTCAGAATACGAAATACAATAGTAACAAAATTTACTGCATAGTAAATTTTAATACCAAAAAGAAATTTATTACCTCGATTTAGAATAGGCCAGTGAATATTAATTAAAAATACTCCTCTCAGAGAGGAAACTACAGGGAAATCACAGATTCGTTATTAGTGAAAAAAAAAATTAAATAGCAATAAGTAAGCAGACAATAAACATTACTAAACTGTCAGTTTTTAAAGGCGTAAATATTTTCGTAATTGTGATTTAATGTATTCTTGCCAAATTCCTAATTGAAATCAATTACATTTTAATGTATTCTAAATATTTTGGCAAATCATTATATAATATGTATATGCAAATGTTTGTAATACGCAAATATACTAGTATATGCATTGTGGATATTTATACACTTTGTTTATGTACAAACTTATGTACTTATATTTACAAAACAATTGTTCTTTGGCAAATTCGTACGCGGCACATTGTTGTTGGTATAATGGTTTCAGTCGACTTTTTGGCATTCAACATTTCGGACGGAAGTGTTATAATAAATGAGTTGAGTGACAATTTGTTCCAACAACTACTTTGCGCGACGACTACACAAATAGTCACACAAAAACCAAAGTGAACAAATAGAATGGGGAAATACGAAAAAAACACAAAGTAGAAAAGATTTAAAAAAAACCACGGCCGCAATGATTTAATGCTTTGTCTACTGAGACAAACATTGTTTTAGAATTAAAAAATATTTTGTTTTAATTTTGTTATTTCTCTTTTCAAGCATTATTGTTTGTTAGTTTTATTAATGTAACCGTTGAAGCGATTTTCGGCCGAGCTCCTCCGCCATATTGTGATTTCGCGTCTCGTTGTTTTTCCCACAGTTTATACTAAGCCGCCTCCGGCTGATGTTTTTTTTTTTTTTGAGGAGTCTTTATTTCGTGTCAAAAATACCTCCGGAGGGTTTTCCTATTTTTTGTTTTTTTTTAGCTGTATTTAATTTTAACAGAAACCCTTAAAATCTACTTTATAAATTAAAAATCTCATGTCAAGCAATTTATCGTATGACTTGGTTTCACTTTGTAGATTTACCTTCTTTGATCACAGTAACTTTATTGTTCCTGAAGCTTTTTCTAATTTTGCTTTTTTACTACGGCGATATGGTGGTGATTTCAAAGATCCTTGCATAAGTCTTATATAGTTTTTTGGTTCGTACAAAGCTGGAGTATGCTAGCACAATTTGGAATCTAATTTATTTTACCCATTCCTCTAGACTTGAAGCCGTCCAAAATAGGTTTAATCGTTGTGCTCTCACTGTACTTCATTACTCTGGTTCCTTACCTTCTGATATAGGGAGTTTTTTAGCTGTTATCTTTTTGGCAACACTGGTTTAAACAGCTGACGCACGTTTCGTGTTTTGTATCACTGTCAAACATCTTCAGTTTGGTACATAATTTAACCATAAATCGTCTTACAAAAGAACAATGCTTACAAATTATTGAATTTTATTGTCAAAATGCGTGCTCTGTTAAGAAAAATTGCTTAATGGATTTCATAAATAAGCAGAATTGTCAATTTTGGAGTGAAGTTCAAAAAGTAGCATTGCAAGAGCTGGGCTGGGGTGGGCACCATTGGACCATACTTCTTCAAAGATGATGCGAATCGTAACGTAACTGTGAAGGGGGAGCGCTAACGTAAGATGATCTCAAAGTTTTGTTTGCCCATAATGCAAGAGGTTGACTTGCATGGCACGTGGTTTCATGTGCCATATGCCACATAGGACGCGTAAAAATAGACTTTTTGAAAGGCGAGTTCGATCAATTGGCCGCCGAGATAGTGCGATTGAACGCCTTTGGACTATTTTTTGCAGAACTATGTTTAATCTTATGTTTATACAGATAAGCCCGCTTCAATTGACGCATTGGAGGACAACATTGAAGCAATTATTCGTGAGATACCGGCCAAAATATTTTAAAGAGTATGCCAAAATTGGACTAAGTGGTTGGACCATTTGAGGCGCAGCTCGACATTCGCATGAAATAATCTTCAAACATTAAATTATATGGACCGTACTATCGATTCAAATAAAGATTTCAAGCATTATTTTGAATTTTATGTGTTTTTTTTAACTTTCCTATAGCTCTTAAAAAATCACCCTTTACTCTGACTCTCTGATGCATGCTTATAAATCTTAAATCACCTGTTTTATTCAGTCATTTTTATTTATTTATGGCATCTTCAATGGCTTAGTGGTATACCCTTGAGTAAATTAGCTGTGCGCTCTTATTATTCATTTTATTTATACTCGTTTGTAAGTATGACAACTATTGTTGGAGCAGTCTCTGAATTTATTATTGTTGAATATCTCGAAGCCTTTATCTTGATTTTGCATAAACTCTTCTTAACGCTTTCTATTCATAGTTAAACGGGTCCATTGAAAGCCTCCGGCCTCCCATAGTAAAACACATTTTCTTATCGAAAAATGGCTAAAAGGTGCTAATAACTCCGCGCAATGGACGCGTTAAATTCCCTGTCGTAACAAATCCACTATATCCAATTTCTCAACCTGCGCTCACCACCGAGCTACACCCAATAAATTCATTAAGTCGAAGGTGAAATGATTTCCACTATGGATTTCATCCCCAAACTAATTCGAAAGTCACTGTGCTCTATGAATCCATTAAAAAATATCGTTTATCATAATCTTCCCTACTCCACAACATGCTCTCCCGCCTGCCCCCCAAATCTCGAACACACAAGTCTTGCTACAGCTTCAATATTTGCTAATTCGCAGGAATAATAGCAGATAGAAAATTATTTATTGTAGACAACAACCATTTGTGGTATAGTACGAAATAAAAGCTCTTAGCAATATAAATATTTAATTTTGATATTTAAAACTGAGTTGCTCTTTCAAACTCAAATTTGGTTCGAAGTAGATATGAAAAAGTATTAAATATGCCTAAGATATGGGAAAATTCAAGTGGAATGATGTGGTCTTAGGAACCAAGGATTTATAAAAAATGAAGCTGCATTGAAAAAGCGAAGATATAAAAACGTTACTTTTACTTCTTCTTCTTTATTTTCATTGGAATCGCTAGTGCGATTATACAATACATAAATAATTGGCACTTTGAAACCGTTGAAACGATTTTCGGCCGAGCTCCTCCTGCAATTTGTGGTTTTGCGTCTTGATTCTTTTCCAATAAATGGGCCTACAGTTTATATTAAGCCGCTTCCGAACGACTGACGGTTTGCTTTTATGAGGAACCTTTATTTCATGTCCGAAATACACTCGGAGGGGTGGACATTCCCTACTTTTTAAATTAATTTTCCATAACTTTTGGTTGTTGGTCGTACCAAGATTTTAACCCGGGCTTTCCGAATGGCAGTACGCTATGCTAACCACTGGTGTCCCTTCATTTGCCGCCAATTGGAAATATATTATAATTTCACCGAGTAACTCATACAGCTAGTTGATCCATCGTCTGTGGTATCCGTCGTTGCCAATGTGCAAAGGACCATACATCGTTCGCAATACTCTCAAAGACTCTCAGGGCCACCTCAACCAGACTTCTGCGCGATAAAGCTGAACTGAACTGATGAGTGATCTTTAGAGTTTGGTCTTTGTCCTTCAAAGGAGGACTTTACTATTCAATTGTCTACTCAGTCCAAAGTATGAGCTGTTGGCAAGAGTTATTTTGTGTTGGATTTCTCGGCTGACAGTGTTGTTGGTGTTAATGCTGGTTATCGGACAGACGAAATAATCTATGACCTCGAAATTATGACTGTACATATGAGTCGCGAATGTTTGTTGTTTGAAAAAGGAGATATTTATTTCTTAGCTCGTTCACTACCAGACACATTCGCTTCACTTTCTTGTCAAGTTTGGCGCAGTTGCTAAGGCCGATGATATCATTTTAATATCAGTTGTACACTCTTGTGAGATATCGTGCATTGTCTATTTAGCTCTGCTGCTCTTATTATTTTCTCCGGTGTGAATGTAATAAAGAGTCACCTCATCTGAAACCTCGCTTCGTACTGCGCTTCTGGTATTGGTGATATGTATGTATGCATTATTTTGTCACGGTTCATTTCCAAAAAGATTGGCGCATGGCGTATATCTGGAGAATGGTAGATTTACCAGGCCTAAAGCCACACCGATAAGATCCAATCTGGAATGGTAGATTTACCAGGCCTAAAGCCACACCGATGAGGTCCAATCATTTGTTGACGGTCTTTAATCTTTAGTCTTTCATACAATACCCTCGATAGAACTTTCTTTGCAATAATTAGGAGGCCCACGGGTATTGGCACACACAGTAGGATCCCTCATTTTATGGATTTGGCAGTGCAAAAAGTTCCACTTGTCGGGCGTGGTACTGATTTACGCATAAATTCTATATCAATCAAGTATGATGAAATCCTTTTGCGAATAGAAGTTGGAAACCTTAGTAGAACTGACAGGGAGTAGACAATTATTGAAGATCGCTTAACACATCAAGCTTTAAGCAAGAATCATAGTCAAGTTTAAGCATCATTATGAAAGATTTCTTTTCCATGTCACTCTCGCCAGGAACCGAAGGAAGATAAAGCAATTTCTCTTTAGCCCTCACCGGTAGATATTGACGACGGTCCAGCACAATTTTCGAGCGTCTTGTCAACAGGCCACCAAGTGAAATAAATAATAATATTAAAAATATAAATAGTTTACATTTTTTTTTACCATTTGAACTTACCAAAAATTAAAAAACTACGAAGGAAACACCTTTTGTATATAAATTTAAAAACCTTTATGTATATACATATAAATTATAAAAATTCTTCTAAGTGCAGTCTTATTTCAAAATTTTCTATTACATATAAAATTCCATACCGGTTTTTAAATATTTTTCGTATTAAAGTATTCATGTATTTCATGAACAACGAGCCGTATATTCTTCAAACGGTTCATTGTAAAGAACTGGAAACCATAAATGTCCAAATTGCTTTCCAACAACAATTTAACCATTTTCACCGCATTCTCAACCGCATAGGCTTGCAGTGCTTTTGGGTTATCCTCCAATGCCTGGTATTTACTCAATTGTTCTTCGGGTATCACCACCTGTATGATATTCGTTATAAACTGCAAGATGCGCATATTATCCGGCACAATAACACCAACAATAATGGGTACAGTAATGCCATTGGCGCGACATTTCTGCACAAAACTTATAATTGCCTCTGGAGAAAAGCAAATTTGCGTTATTATGAAATCGGCACCGGCATCCACCTGGAAAATAATTAAATAAACAAACATTGTCGTTATTATACTTTATTAATAAGTATGTATGGATGTGGGTAAATATGTCTCTAATAATTTTCACTTGTTGTATTGTGTTTATCTATAGTCATGATAATGGTGTTGCCTAATTTGAATATTTACTAAAACATGCGTTTTTCTGACGGCTAGCGACAACCAGTTGTTGCAGTTGTTTTTTAAAAAAAAAAAAAAACTTTTCAAAGCTTTTGTGGGGGTTTTTATTTAATAAAAATATTAATGGTTCAATTATATCCGATGTTTGAGTTTTATTTGCTGATTCACTTAGAACAGATTGTTTATACTTGTTACCAATGAAAATTTTGCATATCAGGGGAAGCCCAGAATGTGCTTCATGTAGAGCTTTCTGCGTGCCAACGAAACAAAAGATGTGCCGCCAGAGAACCATAAAATGTAGACATTTTCTTTTCTTCTAGCGAACTAAACTCTGGTGGTTTTTTTTTATTCCATGTTGCCCACAATCATTCAGACTTTTTCGTCTTAAATTAGAGCGGCCGCGGTAGCCGAGTGGTTAGCACTGCGTACTGTCATTCGGAAGCTCAGGGATCGAGACCTGGTACGTCCAACATCCAAAATGTTCTTATTAATTTAAATTTTCTAAGTGCGGTCTACAGGGAACCCATCAACCGCTCGAAGGCGGCTTACTATAAACTGTATGTCCCGCAATTTCTTGGAAAAACATCAAGGCGCATGGCACAAATTACAATTATATATTTATATACTATTCTGTTGGTTTCCATCTAAAATATCTAACTTGTGGCATAATCTGTAGTGAGGTTATTGAAAGTTATTCGAAAGCTATGCAATAAGCCTTCCCGATGAACGGAACTTTCTTAAAATATTGATAGGACCTTTGTTTATTAGCTTCCATTCAGAAACCTTCTGTAGTCTTACGGTAGCATAATGCAATTCCATAATCTCTCAGAAGTATAGAGGGCAATCGACACCTTACGAGCAACTTTGTTATACCTTTCATATATTTACAAGCAATAGTAAGTTACCCTTTGGTTCGAAGTATATAATTACCAGAGCAAGAAGAGATAGACTCATTAAAATGTATACCGATCGGTCTGTCTGTTCACCTCTCTGTTTGTTTATACGCAAATTAATGAAATGCACTGGTACATTAAAACGATTACTTTTCGAAGCCAGATAGATTGGATCGGTATATATACAACCGTTTTTTCAGATGTGAAATTTTGGAATTTTCGGTTAGTTTACCAAAAAAAAACATCTAATGGTATGAAATTTAGTATGATATCTTCTTATCAGATCAGATATGAAGATTAATCTTTTGTCCTAGACCTAGGTAGTTTGCAGTAATACACAGTTCCCTACCTGTATGCACTGGAGTTAATTGCGTTATTTTAAATTAAGAAAAAGGGAAGAGAAAAATCGAAATCTTCTGAGCGTTAATGCTTAACTTCTCACTTTTCCATTAAATATATTATCACACAAAATTTGAAGGAATTTGCCAGTCAATGCCGCCAGATGGCCCGCTTATGCTATGACTCTGCTTTACCCATCGTTCTACATATCCCTGAGCCATCAGTTTACTGCTAAAATCCATAGAAGAGGCAAAAAGACTCCACCCTTTAAAGCCCTCTGCTCAAATGCCTGCATGTCAATATTACCATAACCTTAGGCCTTACAACAATGCATGCGAGCAATAGTAGTATAAGAGATATTAAACGAGGGTCGACATTCGTAGTCTTAATATGAACATCAATCATTCGCTTTGACTGAAATCCTTAGCTTGGCTGTGAGATACCTTCCTGTATTTCAGAGCAATACTTGGTTTCTTCCTCTGCACTGTAGAACGCGCTGCAACTTTTAATTGTTTCCTAATTTTTTTTTTATTAATTAAAAATTATTAAAACTTTGTTATAAAACTGGAGAAAAATCTCGATACAATTTTAATAACATATACACGTATGTAACCCAGTGGGCGACCGCAGTACGCGGGTAGTTAGCAAGGTTGGGGTCCTGACTCGAAAATTAATATTCTAAGTGAGGTCGACCCACGACGAGGAATGCCAATCCATCCGAGTATATTTCTGACATTAAATATAATCTCCTTATAAAAATCTTTCGGCCATTCGGAGGCGGCTAAAAATAAAAGGTAGTTCCATCCGCTTTTTGTATACCACGTTTTGCCACAAATTGGATGAGGGTCGGCTACAAAGGGTTAATCATATATATATCTATATGATTAACAAAAGTTCGGTCAGTTTGTGACTTTCAATTTGTTTTTGTTAAATCTAAATATACCAAACTCCTTGCAATTATTTTGTGAGCATTCCTTTCAAATTTTAGAATGATCGGCGAAAAGGGAGACGAGAAAAAGCAAGATACATTAGGATAGGTCAGACGCAATTCCACTACCAACGCAAACAGAAATTCACCATGTGATTTTCTTCGAGCTTCGGCGTAATTTATAGCCAATACAAATATTAAGTGAATGGCAAATTGCATACGGTAGACCGTAAGAAATACAATGAAATGTATGGCGATTTATAGAGTTAAAAAACAACAAAGATTACGATTAAATACAAAGAGGATTTTTTATTCACTTTTTCTGGTCAGCTTAACGAACTTTTGTTGACCCCTCGTACATAATCCATTTTGTAAAAAAGTGAGAAAAATAAGACTTGACATCAATCAATGACATGTGTACCAGTATCTAGTAGATTATATTGGAAACCATTCAATTCCAAACATATTTTTAATAAAAATAAACAAACTTGGTACTGTTTGCGTACTAAAATTGTTGTTGCTAACTTACATAATTAAGAAATGAATGTATGTAACTGTGTTTAATTATTTTTTTTTTTAATTTTTATTGCGTTATTGCTATCTCGTTCATTCAAATCTTCAATGAAGAGTATGTCAATTAAAATGATTTAATCTCTTATAACATTGAGATGTATATACATATCTGTATGTACAATACTTTTAGTATTCAATATTATTTTGTTATTTCGGTTTCGAATAATTCTGGGAACCCCAGTTGAACTCGCTATTCATTTGTAAACACCAGCAGATGGTTAAGATTAAAGTAGAAACCAAAAAAAAGGATAACAATTGTTAAATATTTTTATTTATGTATGTAAAATATACTAAACGCAATTGTTTCATAATTTCAAGCTCAAACAAATATTTTAATTTATTTATTTAGTTAATTAGATTTTATCTGGAAATTTCAATATAATTATACCTAGCAAGGTGATCATTAAATCTATATTGTTTTGAAAATAATTTCGAACTCAACAGCTGGATTTTATATATTCAAATGCAAATAAAAATTTTAATAAAATTAACAACCGAATATGTGTGCACATGGAATTACGGTGTTTTATATTCTGCAAAATTTATTTGAAAAAATATATGCTTCATTGGAGTAATCCAATATGCACTCACTTGTAATGTATTATTGGACCAACTCGCGTCTTGCTGCCACCCTGTTGTTAGGCGGTGATTGCTCGTGTTTTAACATTCGCAATTACTAAACGAAGTTGCTTGTGCAGAATAAGATTTATAAGAAAATTAACTAAAATTGAGTCAGTTTCGTTTCGTACACAGACGTCGTGCAAATTACGAGCTTTTACATATATTCAAATGAAAATAGCACAAATTTGTAATTTTAAAGTATAAATCTGTATATTTGTTGGCCATAAAGTAATAATTTAAATGTATATGATTAATATTACGCTAGACGTATGTATGTATGTACGTTTTGAGCGAATTGAAATGTCTTCCGAACCAAAAATTATGCCCGAACATAATTTTTCGTCTATTTTCCACTTATGTAACCCACTGTAGGTACGCCATGGATGATTTTGTAAATTAATTTTAACTCAGTTGTTATGCAGAAAGGGGGTGGGGGTGTGATTTGGTCCAAGGACATCGTAATATTAATTAGACCTTTTTTGTTTGTCTGGATTGCGGTTAGTCTTGGATTACTCCATTGTCCGCGTGAAGTATATATTTCACGCGTGTATGTAGTAGTCGCTTTTTTTGCAGGGTATGCGATTATAAATACATATTTATGATCATGTGTACACAATGAGTTATAGTTTGCACAACCAAACTAGAAAATTAATACAAAATTTTGGCAGCGTAAGAACTTTTCAGTTCAGCTGCACGGGAAGTTAATCACATAATTCGCTTTAATGTTTTTTGTATGTTTAAGGAGACATCAAATTGAGCAGAGCAACTATGCAAATAGAGCGTTAAGTGTAATTAACTTTTTTGCTATGAGTTATTTTGAAATTTGTGTGTTTTCTAATGTTTTTTTTTTTTTTTAATTAACTATGTATGCAATGCATGAATTACTATGTTATGACAGCTTTGTTGAAAAGAATAATTATTTAATAAATTTTTTAAACGATTTATTCAACTTAACGAAAGTTATGTACATAAAAATGTACATATGTATGTATATAAACGTATATATCAGTAAACAAAAAATGACATAATTTCATGAATTTTACCCGAGTATTCTCCAAAATAAAAAAGTTTAAATAAATATAAATAAAATTTATTTCGAATGTTTTTCTTCATGAAACTCATTTTTAATTATTAAATTAGAACCTCCGCTTTATATGTGAAACACTACATCAAACTACAAATGATCACCTCGCGATTTTTTGCAAACTTCGATCAGTTAGAGGCGATTTTCGACCACATTTTAGCACAAATTGCGCGATATCTCAGCCAGAACTTGACTCGAGTTTTTAGTTTCAGTGCACAGTTGATAGTTGTTTATCCGCATAAATATAATCTTTCGCTCAGTGGCACAAAAAAAATCCAAAATTGTAAAATCGCACCTTTTCAGAGGCCAATCACCAAGACGAGAGGTCACGCGGCCGGGAAATTTGTGCCTCAATAAAGCCACATTCGCTCGTGTTGTATGGCATGTGGCACCATCTTATTGAAACCACATATTATAC